CTGGAAGTTTCTTCTCAGAAGTCGGTAGGAGCAGAACCAACCTATGCAGGAGGGTACTCATAAAACAAGTCCAGATTTGATGCTTAGCTATCCGGTAGGTGGTGCTTGGACCCTCTTATGAACACTGTCAGGTCTTATGTTGTTCATGCAGGGGGTCCACTATCTCCTCATAAATCTGAACACGACATGGTCCCATCTTTGGTCTTTGGTGGGACAGTGTTCCACATCCTCTCCTTAATTCCATGATTAAGCAGAATTCTCCTTGCCCACTTGGTAGGGGAGTAAAGACAATTGTTTGTAAATCCAGATGGGGTGAGTTCTGGACTTTGGCATTTGATCCCATCAATCCAGACCTGGAATGTTGCATGTTAGACTTCTTCAGGTTGATCCGAATGATTGTCCATTTTGGTGTTGCTTTCTTTCTTTCATAAATCTGGGGGGTTTGAAATGCATCATTCTGTGGTTACTGGTAGGGATCCAATCACAAAGATGTATATATATCTGCGGTCCAACTGCCCTGGCCACCAATGTAGAATATGGGTACCATGACCCCTTAAATCCAACCTGAGATGTGGAACCTCAGCTGTTTGGTCAGGGCTGGACCATCATACTTGTATTATATTCCACCCATTTCAATTTTCTGTAGTTCTGGGTGAAGAGTATACTTGTTCTAGATGTAGTGCCGTGTTCCCCACTTTGATATCTACATATTATTTCTCTGCAGACACTTTCTGTATGATCTCTGTCCTCACCAGTCCTTCTGCCTTCTCAGTGTGGGATTCTAGCTGTTAGTGTCAGCGGAAGTATGTATGTTTTGGAAGTTATCATTTTCCTAAACTGAAAATGTATTTCCAACATAATTACACACCTTGATGCTTTACCAGTCAGATGGACTTATTAACTCATTTAGTTTATGAACATCCTTATCATCTAAGTGCCTCTTCCAGCTTCCAGAAGTTCCTAGCTGATCAACCAGACTCTACCTACTTCTCATTCTCTCACCAGTATTTTTCTTCCACTCGAGCAACATTTCCAAAACCTCTGGAATAATTCAATATGAAAAGATAAATAAAAAATTGGAAATTTAATAACCTGCAAATAGGGATCATAAAAAAAAGTAAACAACCAAGGTTGGAGATACTGTAGACATTATTTACTCAAACTACAAATCCCTATTTTGACTCCACCATATGTAATTCTAGGTAACAGCATGATGCCAAAATAGGGGCTTGTAATTTGAATAAATAATGTCTACATTATCTCCTGCCTTGTTTCCTTACTTGTTTTATATTCCCTATTTGAAGGTTTTGAATTCCAATTTTTTTATTTATCTTGTTTGCTGGCTTTTTTATCTCAATTATGGGAAAGGAGTACTTGATATGGTAGTATCTAACATTGTAATGATAATAAACATAGCTGATGATTGACTGTAGCTATCAATAACTTGATCATATAAGTTTAGGGTGCAAAATGTTAAGCTGCAGCTGGACATGGTCATGGAGATTTGTATGAGAATATAGTGAGCATTTTATAGTTTTTTATGTAACTAAATTCTCTATATTTAATACATAGCAATGGCAAATATATGCCTAGACTAAGACACAATCCCCACTAAGCACGTATTAAATTTTACCAGTAGAAAAGCAGACTTTTTAAATACATCTATATCTAGAACATTGCTTTAAATAAACCTTCATGTCTTTTAAAGGAATTATCCTATGAAAGTATGTAATGAAATTTAATATTAATGTGTATTGATTTTTTTTACTTCTTCACTTTATACATAATATAGGTGTTGGTTCACTAAAGATACCGATTATATAGTGTACAAAGCACTCAGTATTTACATGTTAGTCATCTGATGTTCATCTATTATTAATTGGTAATTCCTGTTTTATCCTGTACTTAAGCTTTTTAAAGGAATGCCAGATATTTGTAAGGAAGCTAACTTCAAGGGGTAATAATATTGTTCACACTAGAATTATGATGTTTTTTAGCTTATGTAAAATATTGAAGAACCAAATTGACTTTTCAATACTCTACAACCTTCACAGTACCTTATTTAGTATTCTTCAAAAGGTTTGGATGTAATATACCAAGCTGTTTTTGTTGTAGGCTGGCAGAAGAAGAAGAATTACAAACCATCTGTTTTGAATGGAGTTTTTTCCTTGTAAGTTTAACATACATGCTTCTTTTGTGCATTTTTGTATGTGTACAGCCTTAGCAGTCAATAGTAAAGGTTTTAAAGTGTTGTTTCAAATGGTTCTTTATTGTTCTTTATTGTGCAATTAATTTTCAGGCTGATTAGCAAAAAGTGTCAATTATCTACCAAAAAATAAACATGAATTTGACCTTTTGTATTACTTTTTCAATACTGAAAGAAGCTGTATTTTCTATATCTGACAGTAATGTTCCTTGGATAGTGAATATTCCATATTCCATATTGGATAGTGAAAAATAATTATTTAAACAAAAAGTTAAGGAAAATTAGAAGAAAAATGTTCTCTAGTATATGGTATAAATAATAACAGGTCAAAATTATTACAAAATATAAAACAAATTATTTAGATAACAATATCCAAGATATATATATATATAGATTCTATATGTGTTCCTACATATTTGGCAATTTTGTAATGAGGTATATAAACATCCAGGTTTCATGGCATAGAACACAGATGGCAGCACTCATTCAGGTTTGGCAATTGTTCCAGGTACAGGGTGATATTTCCATATGTTGCAGCAAGGGGAAAGTTTTTGGTAACCATGGAGTAAATCCAAATTTCGTAGTCAGTGGATATAAATGCTTATTTGAATATATCCTTTAAATCCCTATAATGAACCACTATTATGGTTCATGATAATACATAATCATCCACTAATACCATCTTCTTCTCTAAAAAGATATAGTGATTGACTCTTCCCTAATGATTTAATTACATATGCACATTTCTGTATATGTTTATTATCAAGTCATTCATGAATGAAGTGGAACACCATAAAATGAAAAAAAAAATCAAGAAGAAATACAATCAATAGTTTTTTTTTCTTTAGGACCAGTCCTTTTGTAACTGAAATTGGAGCTGGCATTTACTTGTCTTATGATAACTTTCCATTTCCTTTATCCAGCTTAAGGTTGCTTTTGCAACCGGTGACATTTAATTATTTTCTAAATTTGTAGAAATTAAAACATTTTTTTGCTTCTCATTTGGATTTTTTAAATTACTATTTGTGAGTAACAGTTTAGTAATTTCCTTTTATATGCATGGTTTGAATTTTAGATAAATATGAACAATATTTGATGGATATACCACATTTGTAAACTTTTCATTTTCTCTTTCAAAATCTGTTTTTGTTTACTTTTTTCTTTCTTAAATTTTTGATTTGGTTTATTAAATGCTTTGCCAAAATTTTGTTGGATGCTGTTTTTTTTTTATCCATGAATGTTGGATGTGTCTCCCTCTAGAGTTAATTGGTGCATTTCATAAACTTATTATTTTTAATATTATTGGTCAAACTGGATTAATATCAAAAGGTATTTCAGGGCTCAGTGTTAGGGCCTTTGCCATTTTCAATTTACATCAGTGAAACATATAAAGAAATGGTCAATAAATTATTCAAATTTGCTGATGATATTAAGATTTTGGGTGTTACTGGCTCTTAGAAGAATACTGCTGCTTTACAAAAGGATTTGTACTGCTTGGTGAGTTGGGTGAACAAAAGGCAGAATGCTTTCAATTATAATAAATGCAAGGTGATACATGTGGGATATCATTATTTATATTGATATAAATTTGATGGGAATAACAGTGTTATGGCAGAAAAGTATTTTGTATTCCAGTTGATAAAGTGTGCTGTTGCTAATGGCAGGACAAATAGGATTGTAGGTTGTATCTACAGAAATATTAAACACAAGTCTAAAGGTGTTATAAATTCATTGTATAGGTTATTGGTTAAGTCACATTCAGAGTATTGTGTTAGTCTTGAGCTCATTACCTTTGGTAGGAAGGACATTGAATTGTTGGAAAAGATTCAGAGGAGGGCTACTAGGAGGATATCTGGGATGGAAAAGTTGTCATATAAAGATAGATTAAGGTATCTAGAATAATTTTCTCTTGAAAAAATGTTAGAGGGGATCTGATTGAGATCTTTAAGTTTTTAAAGGAATTGACAGTGTTCCGGTCTTTCTTTTTCTTTCTTTTTTTTTACTTAATTCTGAAAATGATGGGACTAAGAAGCACAAGTATAAATTTTGGCAAAGTAGGAGTCATCTTCAGCTAAAACAATTTTATTTTTCTAACAGGTGGTTGATCTATGAAATGGGTTGCATTGATTTATCTCAGGCATTTAACTTAAGAGAGTTTAAAGGAAGACTTAATAAATATTTCAATGATAAGGGCTGGCTTTAAATGTTTTATTTTTGCTTTAAAGTTTAGTTTAGTAAATGAGATGACCTAGATAGACCAGTAGGTCTCTTATTGTGATTAAAATATATGTACTTTACCTCATAAGTGATTAAAACATGTCAAGTTCAGATTTGTGGAACCTCTGTATTGAACTTGAATTATAACAGTTTTATATGGCAATTTTTTATAATTTATTATTTGTATAATACCAAAGGACATTTATATGTAATTCTTACTTTTTTTTTCTAAAAATAGGCCTGTACATGTATTGTGCTATTTGGAGGGGAGGGGATCATGTAAGGTGTGTAAAGTATACTTTGTATTCCTATAAAAAATATTGTGGGATATTGAAAAAGGAGTAAATTATACTGTCATGTTTGTTGGTTTTTTACAGAATTTTAACTTTCTAGATGAATTTTGAGTCTTAAGATTTGATGCTGAACTTGTATATCAATCAATTAAGTAAACTAATCTGCATTGACATAACATTATTAGTATATTAAAGAGGGTACACTAATTAAAATTAGAATTAGTTTACTTTTTCTTTTCACATACTTTAACACATGATGCTGAGACTTTAATTTTTTTTTTCAGATGACTTGGAGAGCTCAATTATAAAAAGTCTATGATTTGAAGACTCTTGTGGTTTTTATTTTTGGCTGTAGAACAAGCCATTTCTTTGCTATTGTCTTTTCAGTTATGGATAAAACATTGAAGCAGATGACAAAACTTTTGGAAGTTAAAAACCAGACTCAAAAACATGAACAAGAAAAATCTACATTACTAGAAAATTCAAAAGAACTAGAAGTTGTGCCTGTAGAAAAAAGTAAAGTAGAGGATGTAACAAATGTTATGGAGGAGAGTATCCAAGAGAAAGAGATACAGATAGAAAATGGCACATTGAACTCATCTCCATCACATGCACAACATACTTCATCTTATGCTTCTAATTCTTTGTATAGAAATATAGTTGATGAAGACAATAATGACAAAGGTTTTGGTACAAAGGACCAAATAGCACATAATGTGGTTAATGCCACATCTAATGTACAAGAAAGTGGGCCTGTTAAGGAGAAGGATAAAGAACTAACCAGTCAGTGGCAAATGCAAGAATCACAAAACAAATATTTAGCAGATAGTCATTTTTCCAGTGAAAAAACAAAGGGTCAAGCCCAGAGAAAATGTGAAATTCTAGAAGGAAACGTCATCAATGATCATCATCAGTTTCTACCAAGAAATCAGGGATGTTTAGATATAATAAAGAAAGAAAATGAAGTTACTGTGAATGTGGTTCATGAACCTGTTATGAAAATATTGGAGAACACAGATCTGCAGAAATTACAGAGTGAAGTTGAAATCATTTTTCAAGTAGACCAGGATGAAATGGTTATTGAAAAGTTGAAAAGTAAAGAAGGTGTAAAGAAAGTAAATGACAATACAGTTGCTGAAGAAGTTCGAGACATTGTGGAAACAGCTGTAGATAGTGATAATGTTAAAAAAGATGATAGCAAAGTCAATTTCACTATGAAAAAATCCCATGAAAAGCATGTAGATGTAGGGGAAAACTCTAAGAAACTTGGAGAAATTAGTTGTTCAGGATTACTTGATACTTCAAATCATGAGGAATTAGTTCCAGATAAAGATATAATGCTTGAGAAAAATGAAATCATGAGTGTAGTTCCTCAGATTAATGATGGTGATTTTATCACAGAACCATCTGATGAACAAAAACTTAACTTGAAACAGACAAATTATGTTACACAAAGCTTAAACTCATCTGTGCATAAAGGAAAACTTTCAAATACAGAACAAGATGTGAAAGCTGTAGGACAGAAAGAAAAGTTAAAGTGCATAGAAAATTCAAAAGTTAAAGACAATCCCATGTTGGTAAAATCATCTGATTTAATTACAGAAACCTCTGAAGTCAGTCAGTCATTGTCATCAAATGAACAGAGTTTAACAGAGAGTGAAGAAACAAGATGTCAACAGCTTGGGTCAGATAAAAAATTAAATGCTAAAGACATAGAGGAAACTGAAATGACACAAAAAATAGAAAGAAAGAATAGAAGTCTTGATAAAAATAATTATAATAGCACAGTCTTAGATGTAGAAAATTTTACAAATTCTGAAAGAGAAGCATCAGTAAAAGTTGACAGAACAGCAGAAAGATCATCAGGTAAAAAAAGTAAGTATACAGGTAATTAGAGCTGGACAGTTAGTGGTATTTGCTAATTGACTGATTTATGGCCATATTAGTTGAATATGTACATATAATTTATTAGTACAGTTTTCTTCCAACCACTGTATGTAAAAATGAATAATAAAGGTTGCTGGTGGGTGCTGCCACCAGTTGGCTTACCTTTTGTCAGCAGTTCACCACCAACAACAACAACAATAAAAAAAATGGTTGGCAACAGGTGCTTCTAGAGAGTTGCCTTCTCTCTAATCAGCAGTTTGTAAACATACAACTAAAAATAAAAAGTTGACAGTAGATACTGCCAGTCAGTTGCTTACCTTGCACTCAATATTTAAAAGTTAGTGACAGTGGTAGATGGCTTTAATAGCTTTGCTATAACAAAGGCAGGGTGAGCAAGTTTGGTGGCAGTATTTCTATTATTTGGATAACTCGAATAATCAAGAACAATAATAATTGGAAACACTAATTTCAATTAGTTGATTTTAATCATAATTTCCATCAATCAGTTAGTTTACATAACACTAATTGATTTAATTGATCTTCATAGACAGTCAGTTAATCAAATTAATGACCCAGCTTTGTGAAGTATTGTAAATGTTTTGTAGACATTTAAAATTTAAATTTTGATTAAATTATTAATACGTTGTCATCTTTGAAAGTTTACAAATAAACTGTATATAAATATAACATTAAATACATATTACTTGCCAAAATTGTACCTATGTCAGCTAGTTTAAGTGCAGTGAGAACAATATATAAGTGCAAGTGTATTTGCTATTTGGAAGAACTTAAGTTATTTTCAAAAACTAGATTGATAGTCAAAATAAGATTTGTATTTTACATACCGTATTTTTCGGTGTATAACACGCACTTTTTTTACCCCAAAATTTAATGTCAAAATCTGCTTGCGTCCTATGCA